AGAAAGTTCGGACTTGAGAATGTACATTACAGTATGAATATATGTTAAAGTCAGTAAGTTCAGACTTAAGAATGTACATTACATAAGAATTTAAACTACAGTCAGAAAGTTTTGGACTTGAGAATGTACATTACAGTATGAATACATGTTAAAGTGAGGAAGTTTGGACATGAGAATGTACATTACAGTATGAATATATGTTAAAGTGAGGAAGTATGGACATGAGAATGTACATTACAGTATGAATATATGTTAAAGTGAGGAAGTATGGACATGAGAATGTACATTACAGTAAGAATATATGTTAAAGTGAGGAAGTTTGGACATGAGAATGTACATTACAGTATGAATATATGTTAAAGTGAGGAAGTTTGGACATGAGAATGTATAATCTGTGAGAACACATTAGTCAAGACCTTTAGACTTAAAAGACAAAGATTACAGTCAGGGCATTTAGGCTTATTACATAAAATATAATCAGTCAACTTAAGATGCACATAAGAAAACATGTTTACAAATGTATTTACATGTATTTAAGTGTAAAAAAATTGCATTTTTAAGAAATATAAAATTTATAATTCATTTATTGCACAGAAACTCTAAAACCTGATATTACCGTACATTGAATTATCTTTATATAAATAATCAGAAAGTTACAGCAATAATAAGAGTATAAATTATGTGAATTTACTCACCATGAGCAATATTAACATTAAAGTCAAGTTACAATAAAAGTATTTATGATACCACTAACTAGATACTTACAAAAATAACAACTTTTGAAACAAGGATTACCGATCGAACTAAAAAACATGACAGAATTCAACTAAACATGAATTTCAAACTTAAGGAATGTGGAATATAAAAACTTAATCACATAAATGTCAAACTTAAGATTTTAAGGGTAACTATATGTATAAAACCTGACAGAGGAATGTACATGTTTATTATAACTCATACTGAAGGTTATGTACAGCAAAATAACTGTAGGATATAGAGTGCTATCAAAAATTTTAAGATTAACTATATGTATAGAACCTGACAGAGGAATGTACATGTTTATTATAACTCAAACTG